CACACACACACACACACACACACACACACACACACGAGCGCGCGCGCCCCTGTGAGCCTGACTCCTAACTACCTAACACGTTTCATTTCCTGTTCCTCCTATAAGCAGCCGTTTCCAATAGCATTTCCATCATACACATGAGACACAGATATAAAGAGGTCAAGTTACTCGTCCAAGGTCACACAGCTAGAAACAGCCAAGCTCAACGCCCATCTCTAGTCGGGTTTTTTTCTTCACATGACGCTGCTAAAAATTTTACTAAATGGTGCTATTAGCATGACCTCGTAGAAGACTCTTACCATATTTGAGCCTCATATTGAATTAGATGACTCTCGAGCCCCTGGGGACATTTGAGAAGAAAGGTAGCAAAAAGCCTTAGAATTACCCAAATTCAGGGTCTTTTCTCTTCTAGCTGGGGAGGGAAGGGCAAATAATTCACCTTCTCTGGCCCAGCTAACACTTTGCCTGGCCCTAGGGTAGCCACAAACACCTCATTTATATACAATACGAACTCCAGGGCTGTAAGTGCTAAGCCTGCAGTTAACAATTCCATAACAATTCCTGCTGAACATCCACAGAGGCAAAGCCAGATGAGGTGGTGTTGGATATAGATGATGGCCCCAAAAGGAAGAAAGACAAAATGTTCAAGAAGAAACTGAAAGATGAAGGAAGCGATGGGATCCCAAATCTGGCCGCCTTGAAGGTCTGTGGGCCCGAGGTCCAGCATGGGTGGGGTGCAGAGCTCAGCGCCAGGCTTCTCTTACCGTGGTCAACTGTAGTGACCCCTTTCTTTGAGCTGACTCGTGCTGTCTTCATTAGGGGCCCTGATGTTCAGAAATGAAATCTAGCATGCGTGCAAGTCAAGACAAGGAAGCTTGCTCCTTTTCTTTCTCCAGAGCTCCATATTCGGAAAGGGTATAACATGCTGTGTTTAGCTTCAACCTAGGGGTAATTTACAGTGTAAAAGTTCCCTTCAACTCCTCTTGGAGCACAGCTTTGTATGCACACTCAAAGTAGCAGGAACATTAATGAAAGTCGGCTCCATCAGAGCAATCTTCCTATTAGCGAGAGGGTATTAGCCGGAGGCGTACGTACAGATTGAAAATTTAAAGAACAGCTATTACTTATGTAGATGATCACGTTGGGTATGTAATTTTGAGAGGAAATTTGAATACGTATTTAATTATATTTCTAAACCCCAAATTGAATTCTACTTTGCATTTCTGAAGTCTATATATTATTCCCCACTTGGAAAATTCATGTCTGCATGCATTATAATAAAAACAAACATTTTGCCATTTTAAATGCGTTAACAATTAATAAATATTGATAATTTCAATGTCCCAGGAGTACTACATTCTATATTTAATGGCCAATAACATCAATTACGCATAAAAGGATTGTTGCATTTATGCCTATATATTTGAAAATGTTTTGTGGGCTGGAAAGACAGCTCTGTGGTTAACATTTGCTGCTCTTGCAGAGGATTTGAGTTGGCTTCACAAAACCTACTCGGGAGCTCACAGACATCTATAATTCCAGTTCTAGGGGTTCTGACACCCCCTTAGGGTCTCCAAAGGCACTAGATATGCATGCAGTACTTATACATGCATGAAGGCAAAACACTCACACACATAAAAGCAAATATATAAATGCTTGAAAATGTTTTCAGTTGGCTATGCTTCTTGGAATTCAAATTTTTATGCAAAAGGATTTTATAAAATTCATAGTAGTTAGCTTTAGGGATGTTTAGCCAAATATTTCCCTCATCTTGTTAAATCAACAGCAGTCACTTACCTTTTCCCTGGGGCATATTCCAAGGCCAGTTTTTGAGAATTCTGGCCTTTTTCATTAAACCCACACTAAACCTTTTATATTAGGTCTTTTTGCACAGCTCTGGGCTAAGTACACAGGACAACTTGGCTGAAGGGCTCGTTTGAGCTCAGGGTTTCAGAGGGTTCAGTCCAGTTGCGCCCAGCCTGTGTGCTTGGTCAGATCATCATGGTGTCAGGACACATGGTAGTGGACAGCTATTCCCTTCATGGCTAACAGGAAACAGAAATGGATGACGCTGGTGAAGCTCGGAAGACCAGAATGTTGACATGTAGTCGGTAGAGGCTATCATCAGGAGAGTTCAGATGGGAACAAGGATTCTACTGGAGACTGAGCCAGAGGCCATTCCTGTTATGTCCTGGTGGAGAGTCTGTCTGTATTTGGTCTGTTTTCAAACTCTGAATGAGAATGAGCTTAAAGGTGATAGAGTAATTAACCTTCCATCCTCTTAGTATAATCTCCGTTCTCTCTGAAGATCTACGACGGTGATCTCGAGAGTGAATTTAACAATTTTGAAGACTGGGTGAAGACCTTTGAACTCTTCAGAGGCAAATCTTCAGAAGATGATCACAGCCTGGATGGAGACAGAGTCATTGGAAAATTCAAGGCAGGTTCCTGCGTGGACCCCGTCCTTTGTCTCTGTTCATCAATGTCACCTGTCACTCAGTTCTAACAATGGGTTGTGATGTGGGACACGGGAGCCTGGAGGATCCTCAGTGCCCACCCAGCACCTTCTCTGGAACCCCACAGGGTCCAGCCACAGTCTTTGGAGGCACTTCTGATTTGTGGCCAGTGGGTTAAACTCCCTCTGTAATGTAAGAACACATAGTCGGTACCCATAAGAAACAGTGTCCTTTGCTTTGCTGTGCCATCTAGAGCACATTAAATACGTGATCTATGCAGACTTGCCAGTAAGATAAATCAAACAATACAAACCCTTTTGGGGAGGGCAGACTTGGGGTTTCAGTATCACAGAGCAGTCGCTATGATCTGTAGTTCACTGCCGTGTGCTGGGCCTTTAATACCCTGGGTGACTCGGTTGGCCAACCTGGATTTAAATCTGGCTTATTATAGTAGCTCGGTGCATGCAATAGCTAGTAACTCCAACAATGTACTTGACCTCCCAAAGCTTCAGCCACTGTATCTGGAAAGAGGAACTCAGGACAGAGGGGGCAGTCGGAAAGCCTGGGCACAGCATTCCACATGTAAAGAACCCTCAGATCCCATCTGTCACACTCCTCGTGAGATGGCCCTGGGATGAGAGCATTAACCCATACTGACCCCATCCACTAGTGTACCACGAGTAAGTGCTGAGGCAGGCAGCTCATATCAACTGTCCAAAGGACACCCCCTCCCTGTGACAAAGGGTGGCATTCGCCCATGTCTCTCAGACACATGGGCTGTGTTCATTTGCCCACCCCTGGGCTCACTACGGTTTTTCATGGGTCGTATGACAGTTCTGTTTTCTAGCTTATGTTCTATGGTTCCAGGGCTCCTTCTGTATCTACAAAAGCCCAGAGGAGTCTACCTCAGAGGACAGTGGGCAGCTGAGAATCCAGCAAGGGATTCCACCCAACCAGCCCATACAAGTACTGATCAGGGTGTACATTGTTGCGGTAAGCCACCCTCCTTTGGTCTAAGTGGGTAGGTCAGCTTTACGTATGATGCTGTCACAAATACCACAAACGGGCTTAAACACTGGAAATGTATTTATCACAGCTCTGGGGCTCTAAGTCCATGATTACCTGGTGGTGTCTGTGTCAGGAGCAGCCTCTCCTGCTCGCTTGTAGGTGTCTGCCTTCTTACTGTGTCTTCACGTGGCCATGCCTCTGGAATGTGGAAGGAGAATGAGCAACGTCTGAAATCTACAGCTCCACTCCTGTGACTTAACTGATTCTAGTCATCTGCCTACTGTGACATTACTGATTTTAGTCACCTGCCTATAACCAGCCATGGGTCTAATACACTAGGCCTCGCCATATGCAGTTAGAAGCGTCCAGATCAGCCCATGGCTTTGCTGATACAATACTGAAAAAAAAAAAAAAAA